TTAATTAATTATACAATTTTCTAATGGAAATTATAATAAATAATTGGTTCACATATTTATAATAACAATTGATTGGCCGACAAAACAATTCAAACAAAATCATAAGTGAATAGAGAGCCGAAGAGAGGGAAAGCAAAACAAGCATTCATTCAAATGAGTTATTACTTCGAGAATCACACGAATAATGAAATTATTATTCAATAAATTATTGTATAAAACAATGAAAAATACAATTTGTATGACAAACGCGCGGACACATGGGGTATAAGTGGTGTCTAAGAGACTGGTGTTTGTGTGTAGTATTAAAAAGTGTGAGCATTACGACAGACACCGCAGCCGAGAGCGAACTCTTCGCCGGTGGGCGGATGCACGACATGGAGCGGACACTCGTCGCCGTCGAGTTGTTTGCCGCGCGGACCGGCCGGGCATTTGGGAAACTCGCGCAGATTAGTCAACTTCTGGAAGTCGTCGTGACAGGCGTTGCAGAAGTGAGTGCTGCCGAAGCAGAAGAACACGGCCACAGAGCAACAGTAGCGGCACTTGTACTCCAGGAAATCGGTGCCGTGTTTGGGACACATCTGAGCTCTGGCCACATCGGAACAGCCGCCGCACACCAACTCCGACGGGTCGTAATTGTCGCCGGCGGCCAACTCGGCGTCACAGCGGGCTTCGCCGCCGTAGTAGGCCTTCTGGCACTTACAGCACACGTAATACGCGTACCGTTCCATCGCATAGTTGGCCGCGTCGTTGTAGAAGCGGCCGCCGACTCCTGTGATGGCTTCGCATCGATGGAGGCCTTCGTACTCGAGTCGCATCAACGCCTTGCGGTACACGTCGTCGTAGAGGCCGCGTATGGGCGCCAACAGGTCCTCCAGCGCCGAGTGCTCGATACGGCTCTTGCATATCGGGCACATAGAGAAGGCGAATGTGATCCGCGGTCCGGCCCATCGGGTCCGCAGTACGGCTCGCGTGCAGTGATCGTGAAACACGTGCCCGCAGTTGAGTTGTAGGGCCGGCGCGCAGGACAACGCCTCGCAGAAGCAGATCATACACATGTCGTCGCCGTCCTGTTTGAGTTGTCCGCCGCCGGCGCAGCCCTGAAGACACGGCAGACACTTGCGTTCGTTGGCGACGCCACCGCACTGGTGACCGCACGCCAGCGTCTTATTGCAGGCGCTCTTCGCGTACTCCTGGCACTCGGATTCGCTGCACACGTTGCCGATGGCCAGAAGGCCGGTGTTGCCGGTGGTGCCGCAGAATCGACACACGCCTGTGATGGCTGTGGTCACCGATTTCTCGCCACTTATTATGGAGCTCTTGGAACGGGTGGACTCGCCCTTGAACTCGACCATCGCCTTCAACGTCTTCGAGTCGGCCAAAGCCATCGCCCAAAACAGTTTGATTCGACCGCAACCCTCGTGCAGATCCACACGAATCGCCTCCTCTTCCTCTTTGAATATCTGTTTCGATCGATTCAAACAATTGTGTTATAAGAGGTGATCGTATNGCCTTCAACGTCTTCGAGTCGGCCAAAGCCATCGCCCAAAACAGTTTGATTCGACCGCAACCCTCGTGCAGATCCACACGAATCGCCTCCTCTTCCTCTTTGAATATCTGTTTCGATCGATTCAAACAATTGTGTTATAAGAGGTGATCGTATGGATCGGATAACTCGTGGCAAACAGTATACCTGTCTTTGATGGCTACGAGTCTTTGAGTGTAAGTGCAGATAACGGTCGCATTCGGCGCACAAATTGCCGCAACTGTTGCACAGTATGATTGCCGGCGTCTCTCCGTCCTCGTGGTTATCGCACAGCGGCTGCAAAACAAAGACAAACACACAGTTAACACACGATCGCAATGAATAATGAATAATAACTGACTCTCGACTGTTGGTTCCCATTCTCCTGATCGCCGGCAGTAACCCAATGACTAGAGGACAGGCGTTCCGCGTGTTCTTCTTCTATCACACAAAGTGAGGCCAAAGCCAACCATAGGGTCGGCGTTTTGATGCACTCGACGGGTCCTCTCATGCGTTCGGCAATGAGTGTCAGATTGAGTACATTCTGTGCGATGGCGTTCTTCGTCACCACAGCCCACGAGTCGCTCAGTTTGCCGGCACTCATGTCCTTCAGTAAAGCGATTATACATTCGGACAGTTTCCGTGATAGACAGCCCCGAAGCCACCACCGATCGCCCAACGGATCCCTCGGGTGTATGGCTGTGGCCAACGTTATTGTGGTCACACTCTTATTGCCGGCGCCGACACTGCCCTTCACTTTCGTCTGAACGGTCAACGATTTCGCAATACACGCCAGGAATACGTCCAAAATGCCGATCGACTGGACGTCGAACTCGTCCTTATCGTTGGACACAATCACGTCTCGCGGCGGCAGTGAAGCGATGCCAAACATTTTGCCAAAAACAATGGGTTTTATTTCGGGCAAAACCCGACGCAACAACGCTATCACTTGTCGCTGCACTCGAGCTGATCCGGTGTGCAATAGATTCAAGAGGTCGAGCAGAAGGTCGTTCTGAAGGGCCAGATATTGTCGGCCGACTGACGACCCGCTCAGAGCCAACACCATTGATAGCATTTCGAAACAGTAGGCGTCGG